ACCAGCGTACGCTGGTGACGCTGGGAACGCTAGATCGATATCTATCCTTTCCCCGACACTGCCGCTGGCGTACGCTGGAAGCGCTACGCTACGCTGCCGCAAAGTATAAACGCAGCCTTACAGGTGGTGAGAGGTGCGCTTTGACACTGGTGCGGTGGATTTCGGTCGCTTGCGCTCTTCCTCTTACCAACGCAGCGAACCCTTTCTTCCGCTAGCGACAACCCAAACGATAGTAGTCACAGCGGCCTTGTGCCCCGCTTTACCCCTCCCCTCTAACAACGTCAGCGGCGAGCTTCGTCTGTGGGGGCGATTCGCTAAACTCAATGAACACGAAGAGCACGCCATTCATGTGCGCCTTCTTGACGAAGTAGTTGTTTGACCAGTGGCCTTATGTCAGCTATCCTGAACCTTCGGGAATGTGGTGGCGTCACAAGTTTATACTACAGAGAGGAGTGTCCATGAAATGTTAGTAATAAGTATTGATTACAAAAATTGTTACCGCATAACATGAGGAGATACACTGTTCGATGCCGTAAGCATCTTCGACCTGCTCCACAAATCCTGCCAGAATGTGATTGGAAACACCAGCCAGATGTGTCGACCTTCCTGTAATACAGATTCGGCACTTATTCTATGTTGCCGCTGCCACTACTTTAAAGGAAGAGTTAGGCTTGTTGTCGATTCGCTAGCAGTCAAGCAGGGTTCAGACTTCTCGAGAACGCGCATTGACGCGCTGTAACGCCCGTCGACGCGCTACCGCTGCATACTGCCAGGGGTCGACACGCTACCTCACCTTTTGAGGCGTAGATGGTGTAGTGGCAAGTAGCACGCTCACCACGCGCGCGAGGTCTGGGAATCAAACCCTCGGAATGGCTTCTGCACAGGGCAACTAAGCCTTTTATCCTCCGGGGACGGTGAACTGGCAGCACATTCGGCTAGGATAACTACTACTGACACTGACTTGTACATTGGCTGGCCCCCGCAAGTGATTGTATGGGCCACATCGCATTCAATAAGCCACTACGATTCTGAATGGAAGTAGAATGCGTGCAGCATCCCACAAAGGGATTGACCAACGGCGAAGACTTCACTCTTTTATCCATTCTATGTTCCGGTGGAGAGTATGGGGAGATAGGAGGGTAGCAGACAGACTGCTGGTAATGAGAATGGATAAGTAGGAGGGTAGCTGTTTGCTACCCTCCAACTTCACCATGCTCTCCCCTCCTGGACGCTGCTGGTCGCTGGTGGACGCTGGTGGACGCCGCTGGTCGCTAGATCGGTAGCTATACTTCCCTAGCCGTCGAGCCGCAGAGTATGAACGCAACCTTAGAGGCGTCCAGCGCTCGTTGTCGCGTGCGCCTCTGCGGCCTACCAAATGAATGTGGCTTATTATCATGAGGTACTTATTTATCATCGTGATCCTAATCATTACCTCTGACCAATATCTTATCAACACAGGTTTTTTCAATGTAGGTGTGATTGTCCGCTGGCCGAATATCTGGGACCGAATGCCGTGCACGAGTAGTAGACATTTCACACATTGAATCGGAGAACACGGCTGATGAGCTGTAATAATAAAGACCATCTTTCACGAATGTATTGCTTCCTGTGGAAATCCCAGCTACAGGGCACATCATCGCTTTGTGTGAAAGTTTTGCAAAGTACGACCCATTTTTCCTGAGATAGTACGAACCTTTCCCTTCACAACCGTCGATATCGCCGCAATCCGGAAGGGTGGAGTCAGTGGGCGTAGGCTGAGCCCTTTTACAGCATTTTCTCACCTTTGTTGTGTTCCACCTGAGCAGACCACCATAGCTAAGACACCCAGCGAGGCGGCTCATGCCAGACCTTCCTAGTCAGGGCAAGTCCTGCCGGGTGGGCAAGTTTTTCGGACAGTCCGACACCCCCTTTGCCATCCTCCACCTCTTTCTACTTTCCCTACCCTTCTACCACATTTTCTGAAATACCCTAAGAATTTCTCCTAAAAGTTTGGCTCAGAGCACATTGGTTGGGGATTTTAGTGAGTCTGTACGATCCCCCTTTTCTTTTTGGGGGGGGGATTGGTACGACGACCCCCCCCC